TCCCCTAATACCAGATCACTCTGCCACTGGCCTGAGACAAAAATCAGATCCAGCGTGTGTCCACCCGTGTGAGTGGGGGCCTGAATTAATTGGGTCAAGTCCAAGGCCGTCATGGAAGCCAAGAACTCCTGAGCTGCCGCCGACGTCTCACCCACTGATGGCAGGTTGAAATCCCCCAAGACCATAAGTCTGGGGGTTCTCTATATCCACTGATCTTCTTAAAAAGATACAGTATTTATGTAATGCAAGGGCATTTTATTAACTATTAACTATAAAATTATTGCAAGGCCTGAAAATTAATGAGGGAGACATCCAGATTGGAAATTTCCTTAATGCCCCTAGTCAGCAATATTTCCATTTACTCTAATTCTCAATGAAGTGCAATTGGTTACAGTTCTGAAAAGTAAATATTTAGTACTAAAACTGCTTAAACTGACAAATACTAATTTAGCATTAATTTACTACTATTATTATACCCCAAGTATTCAACATTGCTTTATTTTCTGTTGTATTAATATTACAATTTAATGGTACAAGGTCCAAGACTTTGAAACAGGTAAACATGATTTGAGTCCCAATTTTTTCACACTTGGATAACAAACTTGATATGTTGGGAATGAGGATCAGTTAGAGAAGGCTTAGATTTATGAGCTGAGAGCTGCAGCAATGTTAGTCTGATGGCTAATCCATTCAGGGTGTTTGATCCAGTAGCACACTGGGACACTAGGGAAATAGAAATGGACAGATCCAGCTGTCCCACATGGATAATTTTTTATGGAGATTCTCAATCATGCAGATCATTGTTGTCCCCAAAGTGCTTTTTCATAAGGAAACTGAACTTGAAAATATTTCACTTCTCATCCAAGAAGCTTCTTCCATTCTGAAGAAGCTTCTTGGATAAGAAGCAAAACATTTTTAAGGAAAAAAACAACCAAGAAAGTCCACTTGTCTTTTGAAAAAGCATCTTTGGGACACATGGAAAATTAAACCAAGGTAGGTGCCTAGTCATATGAGCCTCCAGCAACTATCTTATGGTGCCTATATTCCATCCTTCATCCACATCTCGGCATTTGCTAGCATAGTGCCCTACAAAACAAAAAAGTAAATACCAATTTCTCCAAAAATCTGAAGACTGGCTTCAGAAGGTCATGCACAACAGATCGTATCCAAAGTAACAATGTGTGCACATCAAGTCCTCCAGTCTGGAAAGGTTATTGGCATCTGTACAAGATAAATCATTCCATGGAACGGCCATCTCTTTTCTGAATGGAAGCAAGGGACTCATAAACCAAATCAACATTTTACATTTAAGAAAAACTCATTCTGATCCCAGCCATGAAAATAAGTTATGCGGCACAGCAACTGGGTTTGCAAAATTCCTATTTCGGAGCAAACAAAAATAATTCTTATGGTAATGAGAGTTGATTCATGGCTTCTAATTTAAGTTGGCGATGCCAAAGATTCAAGAACTTACCTGGGCCACTTCATTTTTTTCAAAGTTTTCAAGCTGTTGCTGGAAGCCTGTATTTGGATTGGCACATGATCTCGACACCCGGACAACAGACAATGCATCCTCCCAGCCAAAATCAGTGATGGTCATTATATAGGCCACAACCAAGGTTGCACTCCTGGAAACACCGGCGAGACTGCGTCACCATCCCAATACAAATGGAAAGAGATGCAAGGTGAAAATATGTAGTAAATTAGCCTGAAGACCATTGCTCGGTAGAAAAGAAGCATGATAAAACGTTCCAGGAGAATAAACAAACCAACATGAGATATGAATGAACTAATGTTGAAAAGAAACTCTAGTTCAGTGACAGAGCACATGCTTTGCATGCAGAACATCCCATATTTAATCCTTGGCCATTTCAGGTCAAGCTGGTGAAACTCTAAAGCTCTAAAATTGTGGACAACAGCTGTCAGTCAACATCATCAACAGACTGAAATACACAACAGTCTTTAAAACATCAGTGTTTAAAGTTAGGAAAATTTTAAGTGAGGGAAATCCTACAAAACATCCCCATTTTATTCACTAATTTAACTGACACAGACTCCAAGAATTCTTGTCGTGTTATGTAGATTCCTGCTTCAGTCTTAAAGGAATATAGTTCTCTAAGTTCTTTGGGGGAAGAACGACGGAATTACATCCCATACTAGAAGGAATGACTTTGGGAGGAATTTAGCTAAGCTTTATTTTTTTCTAAGTGGTAGGGGTTTTTGTACAAAAGACAATCTATAGGGAGAGTAACGCTACTATATCCGGTAGGGTCACAAAACAGAAATGGAACAGCTTCAAAGGGAAATCAACATATTACAGCTAGTCCTCCAGTTACAACAGTTCATTTAGTGACCGTTCGAAGTTAGAATGGCACTGGAAAAAAGTGACTTATGACTATTTTTCACACTTATGACCATTGCAGCATCCCCATGGTCACATGATCAAAATTCAGAGGCTTGGCAATTGACTCATGTTTATGACAGTTGCAGTGTCCCGGGGTCATGTGATCCCCTTTTGCAACCTTTTGACAAGCAAAGTCAATGGGGAAACCAGATTCCCTTAACCACCGGGTTACTAACTTAGTAACTACAATCATTCAGTTAACAACTGTGGCAAGAAAGGTCGTCAAATGGGCCAAATTCACTTAGCAAATGTTTCACTTAGCAACAGAAATTTTGGGCTCAGTTGTGGTTGTAAGTTGAGGGCTACCCATACTGTATATCCATCAATAAAAGAACACAATTTAGAAAACCTCCTTGTTAAGTACAGTACATACCAGTGGACAAGACAACCTTCCCCTCTAAGCCGACACTCATGGATAAAAGCAATGCTTTCTTTAAAGTGCCTTGCTCTAGAAAAAGAAGAAGAAAGTTTATTAGTAGAATTTAAGAAAGTTAAGAGCAGTTTGCGTTGGGACAAATTTGGTGCAGCAGTGAACGTAATCCAATTGACTTGGATGGACTTAAAAGGTATTGCAATGAATATGTGAATATGTAAGTTTCCTGGGCGTGCAAGTTTGATAGAACCCTGCCCAAGATATTTCATTAGTATTGGTTGCCAACATCTCAGTTTACTATACTTAAGCTAATGTTCCAGTATGCAGTCTGTGTTTTAGACAGTTAAAACTGCTGAAGTAGGTCTCTCTGTTACATGAACTGCAATATAAATAGAAAATATACATACTATATCCCTATGTCCATAGAATGTAAATGTCTGACAAAATACATTACCAAATAAAGCTTCTCTTACTATGCAAGGTAAGAAAGGACTGCAATCAAAAAATCATTTTGAAATACATTCTGAAAAAAAACACTACATGATATTCAACTCTCTAATCCCAAACAAAATTTGGGAAAGCTGCCTTAAATTTCTAAGTGTTATTAACACACCCTTAACAGAGAGTTCAGACCTTTTAATAGACTGCTGGGCAGGGAAGAAGAAAGGAAGAGAGAGGGGAAAAAAGGGTTCACTCGAATTCCACTTAGCTCTGGCTACTCTCACAATCAGCAGAGTCACAGGGAATGTGATCCTCAGAAAGAAAAAGATTCCCAACCTCTACATAGACATGTCTATGGAGATTGGCCTTATATTAAACTCAACTAGTTGGGCGCTTTTCAACTCAATTACATAATTAACAATCCGTCACTAGCAAACCATCAAGGATGCCACAAGGAGTATAATACAACAATTTAAAACATGTTCTAGTTATCACGATATTTTCATCCAGGTCTGAGCTCTTTAGAATATTCAATCTAGCTATAAACTCACTGAGTAGCCTTAGACCAGGGGTAGGCAACCTTGGCTCTTTTATGACTCGTGGACTTCAACTCCCAGAATTCCTGAGCCAGCCATGCTGAGGAGAAATGGAAAGGTTTCCATGCTGAGCCATGCTGGCTCAGGAATTCTGGAAGTTGAAGTCCACGAGTCATAAAAGAGCCAAGGTTGCCTACCCCTGCCTTAGAGAGACAATTAACTTACTAGCTGCCATCTACAATAAAAAGAATGTAAGTACTAGTGTATGAAGCACATGGGGATTATTGGAGTGATAATTAAACCAACTCCATGCTTAGCACTCCGTCAAGGTACAGTTTTCACTGTTCTTTAAAACACAAGTGGGGGACATTTTCTTTCCCCCTTCTCTTAGTCTGGAATAAACATTTGCACGAATAGTGGGAAAATGCTCAGCCTTGCTTTCAGAGGATACGCTTCTATGAAGGCTAGAGCACACAACAATAAGCTAATGCCATACCTGAAACAGAATTCTATGGAGGTGTGTGGGTGTTGTTTTTTCCCCCCTGGATACAGGATTCCCACATGTCTGCCATTGGGGAAAGCTAAAAAAAACTTCTCACTAATTCAAATCAATCAATTCAGGAGGACAAATGGTAAGCAAGACCCATTAAGGCAGTGTTTCTCAACCTTGACAATTTTAAGGCATGTGGACTTCAACTCCCAGAATTCCACAGCCAGCAATGCTGGCTGTGGAATTCTGGGAGTTGAAGTCCACATGCCTTAAAATTGTCAAGGTTGAGAAACACTGTATTAAGGGAACACATCACAATCAAAGTGAAATCTTTCAATACTATCCACCAAGGGATAGAACTGATGTCCTAAAAATTATTTCAAAACTGCCTGTTTTGAAGACTACAAATCAGCTAGGGTTTGTTTGTTTGTTTAAAATACTTCTGAAGGTAAAGCTTCAGTGACTCTATCTGGATGTTCTTCAAAAAGGTCACAATTCATTTATCCTTCAAATAAACAAGGTTTTTTCCCCCCTTAGTTAACATAAGTGATCCAAACTGAATTCCACTGCTTTGGAAAAAGGGCTAAGAATAAAAGCTGACTTCCATACTGGAACAACTAAAGCACACCAATCCAACTCTATCCCAAGCACCTGCTTTAGAAGGTTATTGTGGATGATGGTGTTAAAAGCTGTTGACAGGAGAATAAACAATGCTGCATTTCCTTCATTCTTCTATCGGCCCAAGGCAAGTAAAGGAAACTCCAGGCCAAATCCAAGCAGAAACTATGCTGAAATGGATCTATATCCTCAATGTCATTCAAGGGTATGTAAACCAGTATATTTGCCTGAGTACCTTCCCCACAAAATGCAGATAGTGGTTGGTATAATCATGGATCTTCAAAAAAAATTATCTTATTTTCTGCATGACATAACAGTGGGCAAAAGTGTAACTAAATAGTTGAGAAGCCAGGATACTCAAGGTCAACATTTCTTCTGTGTAAACTGCAAAACCAGGAGTAAAGCGCAATGATTTTGAACAGATTTTATTTATTTATTTTATTTATTTATTTATTTATTTATTAATTTAATTTATACCCCGCCCTTCTCCTCATGGGACTCAGGGCGGCTAACAGCCTCATAAAAACTACAATACAAATACAATAATTAAAAGCCGAATTAAAAAGAAATATTTAAACAGGCCGATCATTAAAATTATCCTTAAAAATCCCCTAAAAAACCCCGCTAAAATTCCCT